GTTCCCTGTAACCTTCCTAAACCCTCATGTACGCGAGCTCTCTCTTTGCAACCTGAGCTGAGACAAGGTGCAGTCGTAACGGTGCTCGCTCTTCTTCCATGCGCGGTAGGCCTGCCAAGTGTGGCGGAAGGCTTTTGCTGAGCATTTCTCAAGTCCACACGACAGCCTCAGTCCTCGGGGTGTACTCTAAACCAAATGGCCAAAGGGCAAACAGGCGCAGCCTGTGTCTCATTCGTACTTACACATTTCCGCCCGCTGTGGCCATCAACAACTCTTACCTACAGACTCACACCTAGGAGAACAACCCTGAAACCAAATGTATTGAATGGTTAAGCTGACTGCGCACGGACGCACGACCTTGCATTGATAATTCGGACAATCAAGGTTTTGGGGTACATTATAGTCTGAAGATATAGGGCTATACGGGCATACGGCATACCAGTACCAATTGTTGAGACCCACATCTTACCCTTTGCGCTGAGCGGTGCATTTCCCTGCCTCAAATGCACCGTAGATGCGATTCCGAGTCGCCTGCAAGGAGGGATTCAAGTCCGGGGCCTGATGACTTGTGGTTCTGCAATCTAGAGTTCAAAGGATAGCGGCTATTCTGTTTCTTTTAGCAGACTCTTGTTGCACTCCGCATGACCATTAACACGTACACAGGTGCCTTCACTGCAGTATCCCACAACACGACCGAACGGCCCGGAAGACAAACTACCTAAAGCCTTACAATGAAAACCCCAGAACATTGACATTGACGCTGTTGTTTGCGATTGCTCAAGGCTCAAGCTTGACATCATGAACAGCCTGCTCTGCTGCTGCAAGATGTGCTAGTAGAGGTGGGTTTCGAAAGCGATCTTGTGAGGAGGACAACTTTGCTCAGATGCTTGGTTGGAGAGCTGATGGTTGAGGAAACCAGCCCAGGCGGGGTGATGTGGTGAGGGTGGTGGGTGTGGTGCTGGGGCCCGTTCAGGAGATGATATTTTTGGTTCCGAGGTCCATGGTGTTTGATGCGGATGATGGCTTGTCGAGTTGCCGTACAACTATAGTGACACCAAGCCCAGACCCGGAACGCTGCCTAAAGTCTCCAGCGCAGCACTTTCTGGCACATGCGCAAGGAAAAATGCCAAACAAACAAACCCCCTCATATATAATGAGGCCCAATAATGTGCGGGATATCCCTATAAAATGCTTATGCTTCTGTCCTGTTTGGGTCCCCAAAACAACCTCCCCCGAGCGTGGAACCTCCGAGCCACGGTAGGCACTCTCCCGTAGCTCTGGTATGGGCTTGCCCTTCGCATCCCGGTCGGAGACCTCAGACGGTTCATCAGCTTGAACACCGGTAGTGATGATGTAGTAGCTGCAGCAAGAGGAGCAGCAGAAGCAGCAAGAGCAGTAGTAGTCGTAGTAGTAGTAGTAGTAGTAGTAGTAGTAGTAGTAGTAGTAGTAGTAGTAGTAGTAGTAATAGTAGTAGTAGTAGTAGTAGTAGCAGTAGTATGTAGGAGTAGGAGGCGTAGAAGCAGCCGTAGGACTAGAAGTACTACCCAAAACTTTGGGACCTCAACTATAGGGTTTTGGAGCCCTTATACGAAACTTATAATAAAGAACCCCAAAATAATTAGTATTGGTAGCTATTCAGGCCCAGTAACCCTTAAAGGAACCCTTGTAAGTAACCCTATTCCAAAAAAATCAGGCCCCTATAATAAACGGTAACCCCAACAACTTATTAAGCCAATCGGATCCAGGGCGCATACTCCTCGCGGCTCAGCGCCCCATCCCTCGAGCGCGCGGCCCGGGGGCTGCCGGCAATGACCGTGAGGAACTCGCGGTAGGCACCAAAGAGCCTGGAGGGTGGCTGGAATATATTATAAGATGAGACATATATATATATATATATACACACGTTATGAATATGAATGAAACGAAAAAGAATATCAGAAAGTAGGCTAGAAGGGAATGCAATAAGATGTACTCCAAAATACGGCGGTACAATCGAATATGACATGCAAACTTATAATACTATAAACCCGGTGGAGGCAGAGGGGGCCGGGCGGGCGGAGGCAGGCCTCAGCCGAAAGCTGAGCGGCTGCAGAAGACAGCTTCTGAGATTTGGGTTTACCATAACTTAACTCGCCTCTAATGTAAACCTAAACCAACCCTAAACCCTAAAAAGCGGAATCTGAACCCGAAGACCCTTCACTAAACCCCTAGGATCCTGGACCATACCAACTCCTACAACCCGCAAATCTACCGTTCTTGAGGGTTGAACTTGTAGAGGGTCTCGACTTCAGGGTTTGGGCTTGGGTTGCTTTCTTGTTAGGAAGTTCTTACGGGCTGAGTACCCGAGCCCAAAAAAAGGCCAACGTTTTAATGATTTCTGGACCCGAAAGAGTTTCAGGCTGCGGAATTTTACACCCTGAGCCCTGAACCCAAATTGCTAACCAGGTGGCGTGTCGCCCTTGCTCTTGTCGAGGTGTTGCCCCATCAGCTTCCCACCCATCAGCTGCTCAAACTCGTCGTAACCTGACAACATTGGGGGCTGTCTTGATGCTTAGAATATTCTTTCACTATGAAGGTTTGTTTTACAACGTTGTACCTGAGTGGTTAGCACACGGCTTTGGGGTAGCTTCGAGCAAACTCGTGACAAGACCTTCTAAAACATAATTCTATTAACAATTCCATTACAAATTCGATCTTTACTTTTGACACTTACAGCGCCTGCGCGGTTTGTGGGTCAGAGCTGTGCAAGGATCCTCAACCTCACCCATGGCCAGATTTTTTGGTGCACTGCGTACGGCTTCCTATAAAGGTTCGGTAGGTTAGAGACAGTGCATTACAGGGTTCTGTAAGGTCTCATGAAGGGGTTCTGTAAGGTCTTAGGAAGTGTTAGCTTAGTGTCTGTGGGAGCCTCGGTATTGCTCACTAGTTTCTCTTGTTCTTTCGATGTCTGTGTTCTCCGGCCTTGCGTACATCAATATCTGCACAGAAAACTTCGGAATACAAGTACTTTTTGCGCGCAAGCATGCATGGGCGTGTCATGTCAGCGCTTGTTTCTGAGGATCCATACCAACTGTTTTGCACAGTTTGGGACTATAGCCACAGACAACTGCCACAGGGAGCGGCTTGAGGAAGACATGCGGAGTGGTATGGGCTGTGTATCCCCCCCAACCACTGCACAACATGCTAGTCAAACGAACCAATCATACCTGCGAAAACAGCCGCCATGGTAGCAGCAGCATCACGCCATTTACCCCTCCAAAGTAACATGCGTTACAACCATCAGTTTTGAACCATCGTGCATCGAACTCTCTGGGGAAGCTCAGCAATCGGCTCAGGTAGTCTCGGTCTTGGTCAAACAGGCCGCCGACGCCGCCCTCCTCTGGCATTTCGAAGCGCTCCTCCGAATCAGATGAAGCGGGAGGGAGCAGAGGATGAGTTTCATACGACAACTAAGAGGATGCTTTTATCCAGCTGAAACGCTTGTGGAGTGTGAGGAGTGGACAGAGCAGGATGAAAGGAAGATCTGACAACGAGGATAACGAAAGGGATGACCTCGAGCTCGAGAACGCTTTTCAGCTGTCCACGTCCAGGCTTGTTAGTGCTAAAGATTCACAAGGCTGTGGAAACCTGGCACCCCCGTGCTTACCGTGTAGAATCTTGTCCTGCTCATTACCCCCTTCCCTGATTCGTGCCTTGTAGTGGATCTTATACACTATCGTGAATCCTACTGAGTACTGACTGCACAGGGTCAATAGCAAATTTACGATCAGCCCTTCAGGCACCTGCTCGGCCCCTGTTGAAAGCTGTCTCGGGCAGGCAGGCAGCCAGAGCAAAACAGGTCCTCTGCAGTCAACGTGCACCCATCTTTTCTTCCTTGCGTGGCTCCGAGAATACACCAAACATGCAAAACACTCCAATCCTCGGAACCAAGATCCAAAACCCCACAGCCATTGCCATACACCCTGCACACCCTATCACCCCCGAAACCCGGCATCCCCTAAGCCCTAAGAGCAAGCTGCTAGCGCGGCTGAGGACTTCATGAGTACGGCTCTGCTTCTTGAGTGGCCGGAAGAAAGGCTCCTCGGCTTCAGGCTACAATGTTCCTTGGTAGCTGGTGCTATTGTAGGTGCTTGTAATAGTACTGGTACTGGTATCAATAGTCGTATTCGTATTGGTGCCTAGGGGTTTTGCTTGAGGGCTTTGAGGCTTCAGGGGTTGAGGCGGTCGGAGGCTGAAGGATTTGCAATTCAGGGCTTGACGGCTTGGCGTTGAGGGTTCAAAGGATTCCATTTGATCGGAGGCCAAAAGGGGGGTTTAAGATTCCTAAGCGAGCATTTTTCGCGTTTTTCGCGTCCACCTCTGCGCCTCCGCTTAGCTGAGACACACAAAGCGTTTCCACAGTAAGATTCTTGGGGTAGGGATTCCTTAATATGAATCCTATTATGGGAACCCAAATCCCTACTAAACCCTACTAAACTTCCATAGGCTAAAGCCCCTTTTGGCCTCCTACGACCATTGTAGCGGATGGAAAGTCTTACGGGCCTTGGGTTCAGGAGTCGCCGGGCTCTCGCCGTGGGGTTCGGTTCATGGTTTGGGGGGGGGTTGAAGAATGTTTTATTTAAGTGGCCAGGGTTGGCACGGTTTCGGGTCTTTGGGTCTCGGGTTCAGGGGGTTGGTTCGAGAGTGTCAGGGTTTGCAACGGTGGCACCAGGGATCTCCGAGAGGGTGATGCCTCTTGGGGGTTTATACTCTTTTTTAGACCATGCTTGCCCCAAAAAGGGAGGCCAGAAGTGAAACATTCAGACCAGAAACACAACTTTCGAATCGTCGGAGGAGGTGCCGCATGACTAAGGGCCTTTTGGGGCTTGTTGGGAGCTTCGGAGAAAAGGAACCCCAGTACAAACCAGAACACAATGCCGGATGCTTATCAGAAGGGCCCCTTGAAACTGCGACCCCCAAATTTTGAGAAATCCTCGTCTGAAATTTCTTGGGCAGGAAAGAGGATCACAGGCGGTGGTTTCAGGATACCACCTGTACGAGCACTTGATTTACGGATCCGTATATGAAGGATCCTATTGTTGAGGCTTCTATCCTTTATTCCACTACTACATGAAACTCAAGTGTTCTGCTTTGGCCCTGAGCTTGAACCTACGTTCACCTCCGTACCTTGATCCGCTAAGCCGCTAAGCAATTAGGATGGTCTTGTCACAGTGAGCCACTGATTGTCTGATTGCCCATCCCCCCGCTCCCCCAAGACAGAACATGCTTTCCACACTTTGCTGATACGAGCACAGGAGATAGCAAGACGCAGCGACAACTGATGTTCGTTCGTAAAGACATCCTTGAACATGGCTTGATGTATGCTTCCTGTGTACCTTCCTTGCGTACGTCATTGTTCAGCCTCGATTTTCGGATTCCAGACACTGCTATTGGAACGACGACAGACTTGGTACGGGCATGGGGACGCCCTGACATGGAGAAATGACGCGAGGATGTAAGCGGGTGCCCTTCCACATTTCAACACCTCTGCCTTCTTGAGAGCGACAAAACAAAGAGAAAGGCAAGAGCGGTGCTTCTGAGGTGACTAGCGGAAAATGAGGATACTAGTGGATGCAGGTAGACGGAGGGGGACACGTGAGGGAACAAGAAAACGATACATTTTCTGATTGCGGTTTCCTTGACATGTTTCAACTTTCGACACTTTCGGACAACAGACCGCAAGGAACACAAGATGCAACAAGAGAGGCGAGAGCACGGGAAATGGAAATTGGACAAGTAATAACACTCTAAAAGTAAGAGCCTCATCGACCGGGATCCCGGTCTCCTCTTGCTGGGCCTTTTTGAAAGATGAAGAATAAGATAGAGTAACGTGGAGAGAAGGAAACTGCGTATAGTCATTTCTGATACAGAGCAAGGACAGACTAGGTGGCGATGTATTGATGTAAGTCCCTAGCAGCACGGAATAGTGCAAGGATTGATGTGAAATAATGCTCAATGTTTAGACTTCAACGGGCTGTCAAGGTAGATGGTCGTCACCACCCGATCATCTTTAAGGCCCTTGCCTGCAGTGAGCGGATTTCAAGCTCTTCCACGTGGAGATGAAGGCATCAACATTTCAAAGGAAGACTTGGCTCAAGAAATCTCAAGAACATGACTGACGAATCTCAGCCCGATGAAATATTCAGTGCCGTGACAGTCTGAATGTGATCGTACACCTGTGATTCGTGATATCTCTGTTTTGGCAACAAGTCACAGGCTGGAAGCAGTCCCGCCAAGGGGCGCCTTTGACCGAGTTGTCCAGCATCCGGAGCAAGGCGTTCCAGTTTGTGATCACCTCTTTCGTTGGCCAAGGGGGTCACACACACTAACCCCCCTTGACCGGATCATTCTTGAAAACATCAGCCGAATTCCGTTGGAGCGACATCTTGAAATACATAACCCAAGCAAATCACACTACAGGGTTGCTGACAGGCATCACCCTTCCGGCGGGATCCCAACCCTTCGTCGGACTAAGCCGAAGGATGTGTCACATAAGCAGCCCTGTGAGCCCTAAGTTTGCAGCGAGGCGCCGGAGAATCCCGGATCTGAAAGTCACTCGACTGTATGCCTGGGCTGCGAAGCGACCAGGGGACAAACACGCAAGAACTTCTTTACATAAAGGCTCCTTGACGGAATCTGGTCCCAACTAAAAGTAACAACTTGTGGTGCTCCGGATCCCAGATGCTGCTGGGCGGGGGCCGGAATTGTTTTCGCTCCTTGCGGCGGGGAGTCTTCACAAACCACTCGGTGAAGCAGCACCCAAGAGAAAGGCAGACCCCGGTTGAAGCAGATTGCAAGTTGACATTCAGAGTTGGGTTGATAGGTTGCATCTCTTCCCAACCCCACGGCTGTCTACTTCAACGAACGACTTCAGTTTTGCAATCAGAACGCAAATCTGTTTTGGAGAGCTGCAATGGCACCCTGAGGATGAATTGGAAGGAAGCCTTTCTAGGAGGTGCTTTCAAAGCCTTTGAAAAATATTAGTAGGGAAGATCCCCTACCAGATTCCCACATGAAGCCGTGTGCAACTCCATGCGCCCTGAACTGAGATGCTGCGCTCCTCTTCCCGAACAACTCCGAGCTCGATACCTGGGCCCGAGAGTACCATCACATGTGTGTTGTGGGTGGAGGTTCAATTGATCCGGCCCTAAATGTGATATCCTGGATCTGAAAATAAGAACCCCACTGTGGAGCTGCAGCAGAAGGCTTGAACTGCTTTGGCGCAAGTACATACATGGCCAAGGCACGACAACTGCAAACCGCCCTCTTGGATTGCAGGTCTACTTTTTTCGGGGTGTGGCACGGATTCTGTGGAGACAGCATGCCACGGCTTAAGGGCTCTTAGGTTTAGAGTTCATCTGGTTTACGAGGCGGCGACAAGGTGCGACCTGAGCCATGAACACGCTTGCAGCCAAGACACCGGCGATGTCTGACATGTTCGAGTCGCCCCCAGAGGCGCAC